AGCCGAGAGGCCCAAGCGTCGGGCTACACTGGCCATTGTCCACCGGCTGACCCCCTCCCACCCACAGGGATCACTTGGTAACCGACCTTCCTTAGCTCGCCCAAGGGTTCGAGCACTGAGCCGGCACTGCTGAGAAACTGAGTTTGATTCTGGGGTTCAGCCGTCCGTGCTAAGGCTCGGTTCTTAATCGTAGCAAAGGTGATGATCACAGCCCAGTTCCCAAATGACTGCACAAGAAAGAAAAAAAAAACCCATCATTAAATCTGATTTAGCATCCGATGTTGGCTTTATTCCCGCCCTGAGAATGAAACGTATCGGTTCGGCTCTCATGCAAACCATGTCTTGAGAGAGTGTGGAAAGTCGCATCTATTGCTCTAAATACTGTATATATAAAGCACTTGAGTGATTTTGTTCGAGTGTAGCAAGGTGAAGGTCTCGGGTCAGTTACGAATGACTGCACGAAACAGCCCTATCAGATTAAATGTTTTGTTTCACTTTGGCAAAATGCCAGCTCTGAGATTAAACAATATTGGGGTGTTCTGCCATAAAACAATAGCGGGGTGTGTTTGAAAGCAGGGTGTGTGAGTCAAGGACATGGATAAAAGGTCACTTGAAGGAGTCTCGTCAGTAGTTCTGTGATATCTCCTCCATAGACAGTTTCCCAGCACAGGGTGGTGCAATGCTTACTGTCGGCGTTTCCGAATGGACACACTGTCTCCGTGACGTGACGTGATGCACGCGCAAGTGAGAAACACGCTGCTAAGCAATACGAATTGGATAAAACTGTTTGGAACGCTGAATGATATATATTTTTGGGTAAAACAGCCTCTCTCATCGATCGCACACGGGGAAGAGCAAACATGCACTTTGTCTGCCGCCGAGCGGCTGTTCCAGGACCCGTGGCGAGCATGCGGCGGATGGCTGTGCCTGCAATGACAGGACCGAGTGACCTTTCACCCCCGCCTCGAAGGCTGCTCGCACGCTGAGATAAGGCTCTCACTGTGTTGGTTTTAAACCGGAGAGAACATCTTGAATGCGCTTGATGATTTTAACCTCTGCCCTCCAACAACCGCCCACTGCTTGTTAGAGACAAACTAAACTGTATTTACAGCGGAGCGCTCCGCCGTTATCGCCTTGTAAAATGTCATAGGAGAAGCACTCGAGATGCACGAATATACAATCATTTACAATACACAAGTGTCCCCGACTCGCTGCTTTGTACGTTTCGCATAAAGCGCGTGTCCCTTCGTGTGAAAGTGAACCTCGCTCTCGTGCTAACGCGAGCGAGCACGCGTGGGCAGGCGAGTCCGCGAGAGGATGCCGGTGTGTGTGTGTGTGTGAACAAGGTCTGCAGAGCACCTCGCGTGCAAGGGAACAGGAGCGGCGCCTCTCCGCGCCGATATGAATTTCCACTACGTTACCCCGGAATGAGTCAAACAGACAATTTCACGCCTTGCTAGCGAACGCAAACACGCAATAACTGCCGTGCTCCTCCCTTGACCGTCGGGGCTGCGAGAGCGGTGTTTACTCGGCAAAACATGCGCCGAGGAAATTTGCAATATACAGGGGCATTGAAGGGGCCCTGTAGTAGCTGTGAGACGGCCCCTTCTGTAGTAATAAGCCCCAGCCAGATATTGACGTCGCTGTTGTGGGAGAAGCTCCCTGTATTGATCTGCACCCCCACCCCCGCCCGCCCCCTGCCTGCATGTGAGATGCCCTGTCAATTGAGACTGGCCACGTTGAAGGGATTCGAGGCTGGCGAGCTGTACTTGGTCCTTGGTGCACAGCGAGACGCGCATTGCATCAACTCGAATGGGTATGTCGACGTCATCGTTTCCAAATTTAATATCAGCAATGCGTCGAGGGTTTTTGTGTTGCATTCAGTCATGGTCAAGGTCCATGCTTGTGTCTTAATTTCTGAATTTCTCATGGAAGATTTTCTGGAACCCTCCAACCCCCCCCCCAACTCCACCGATAGTGGTGGTAGAGGGGACATTTTTTTCGAGAGTTCAGCCCCAGACATCTCTCGTTGATTTTTAAGCCGTCAGTATCCTCCAACGAATATGGATTTGATATTTGGCGAGTGCGTATCGGGCGGAAGACTATTAAGCGCACATTTATTTGCGCGAAAAGGTCAGAATTGAAAATCATTAAAGTGAACTATAAATTCGCAAAGGCAGAAACTAGATTGTCAATACCATGAAATTGTTATGCGGTGATTGAACGACAAGCGGGATTGCCTTTATGGGCGATAAAGTCCCGCGCTCGGTACGCTCCCGTTAATTGCGACGCGCGGGTGCGCAACGCGGAGCCGCTTGTGACACCGCGTGGGTTGCCACAGGCACGGGAGATGGAGCCACGACGGGTCCGAGTCACGCAGCCCCAGGGCCATCAGTAACACGCGGGCCGGATCGCGGCCTTCCACTGGAGCGGAGCGAGTATTATAGCACGGTTACGCAATGCAAATAAAATTATATTTTTTTATCACAGCTCCAAACGCTTGTGCGCGTTCTTGTGGTTCTATCGTGGGCTTGATCAGCTCGTGGTGGAATTGAAACGGCATCCGTTTAATGAGCACCGCTGGACACGAAAGGCCCACTGCGTGCGTGCATCCTGGCCATAATTCACCCCTCCTGCCTGGCCATTACTCAGCCTGGCGCAACTGCCGGCAACGGCAGTCCGGTCTCCCTCCCCCACCTCTCATTGCCAACCTCCCTCTTCCCTCCCTCCGGACCCCCCCCCCCCACCCTTATAATATCCCCCACCCCCGCCTGTTCTCGTGTCCTGCGTATCTTGCAGATTGTATCGCCTCGAGCAGGCGTTGTATCTCAGCTGATGCTGCTGAATTATGTCGACCGCAAGAAGATGCGGTGGCGTCTCCAAGCGGCTCTGCTGGTTTGGGCAAAATGTCACACACGTCAGGGACGATTGAATTGAGTTATGAGCAGGGTGGCACGGGTCTCTTAAAAATGGAATTTGGCCTGAAACCGCGTCTCCGCTGCGGTGGGAAGAACGTCAGCACGTGAGCGACAGAGGAGACCCTAATGAGTGTTGACGTCGCCCCGTGTCACCCAGGATAGGTGCTCGCTAACTGCACTTGCTCGTGGGGAGGGGGGGAGTGTGAGTGTCTTACGCATCCGTGGGGTCTTCAACGAACCACGCTCAACGTGATGGTGACGTCCCCATCACTGAGTGATAGAAACATGGGGTGATGTTGAACAGTGGTGGGGGGGGGGGGGTGGAGTACACAAGCTTCTTCCGTATGCTTGATGTAGATGCAGGGAAAGAACTACAATTTCACATTCAGGTAACCAAAGCCAGATAGATAACCGGGTCAGGAGCAGCCGAGTGCATCGCCGTCTCATTCGTATTTGTATCGGGGCAGTGCGCCGTGATACGTTGTGTGTGGTCTGTTCTGGATGACCACAGTCGCACCAATACTGGTGAGTTTTACATTTCTATTTCGGGGGTGGGGGGCACAATGACGTCACTAGAGTCCTATGGTGGAGCACCGGATTGGCTTAAAAAAATTCTCACATTTCATCGATACCCATGCTGAAGTGTTCTGGCCTCGCTAAGTGAATCGCATCGAGATGAGATGCTGTGGCATTTCGAAAGCTGCATGGGTATCCATTGCAGTAGTTGCTGTTGTTGTTAGTGACGGAGGAAGAATTAATACTCGGGGACGCAAGCATCGCGGGGTCGATTCTCGTCTATTAAATGCGAGACTAAGTCTCTCCCTTTGTGCTTTACGATTTCCTTTCCTCTATTAACGGTAACCACAGCAGTGGTAACAAGTCACGTTCACTCGGAACAAGGCGCTTTTGCAAATGTCACGCACGGGCGGGAATGGACTGTAATAAAAAATGTAGGTTTATCACAAATTAATATGCGGTCGTTATTTTGTAGACACATTGTTTCGAGGGACGTCAAGTGTAATATAGACCTATATAGAGGCAGCTGTGAAATATATAATAACGTATTATATAGTTTATGCAACGAACTAGGATTCATCTCAGTTGAGTGCCATTTCCTATAAATGGGTGGCAATTCGCCGGCATTGGTTCCAGCAAAGCCCGACTCTGCTGATGCCACGCCGAATGTCGAACTGGGTCCAGAAATGTCTTGCGTTAAACCAATGCTGCCGGAACTATGGAGGTCCAGAAGGCGTTGTGGTGGATGGGATGTGTGAAAATAAAAACACATTTTATTCGTGGAGGAGCAGATAAGGAAAATAATCATATTGTCTGCTTATTTTATATATATGCCATTCTCTCGGCTCTCTCTGTAGAAGAGCTATTTCTCAAAACGTCAGTCTATTATTTATTTTACTGTTACCAGGCAGTGAGAATGATGAACGGGGCGAATGTATTTTTTTCAACGTGTGCGCTTGTGCACTAAAGCCACCAATCTAGCCTTCTGGATTTGTATATGTTATATAAGAGACATAGTCCTAGAGTACAAATGAGTCATCTAAGGGACGTCGCTAACAGAGCGTCATGTTCGAAATGCCTCGGCCGTGTTCTCGGCGCGTGCCGTGCGTTCTGGACGTGGACATCCCCCGTCGATGGCGCGCGCTCGCGGGAAACTCGCCGTGCGAATTAGCCGGGGGACAGCGAGCGCCCCGTTCCGCGCGGCCCCACTCCACTCCACGATTTACGGGCAGCGCTGCCAGCGAGCGGAATCCGCGGGCTGAGCAAGGGGAAGGATATCTCTCCCCCCATCCCTCCCACACCACACCAGCCCGACCGAAGCAAGCCTTTAAATCTCGCGGGACCCCACGAACGCCTTCGTGAGAAATCAGCGAATACGCGAGCTCGTCGTAACTAGGACACCCTGCACTCGCGGTGTTCACTGTGGGGCCGCGCCGCTCCAGAAATCGCTCCTCTCTTCTGGGCCACCTCCGCATGACGGGGCCGCTACACAGCGCTCTTAGATTAATAATAGCAACAACAACAACAATAGGCCATCGCAACTCCCCCCCCCCCCCCTCCCACAAGGCAGTGTGCGCGCCGCGGTAGAGTTGAGCGCTGCTGCTCGCGTGTGCGCCCACTCCAGCGGGGGTGGCGGCGGTGCGCGGGAGGGTTTATAGGACGGCTGAGTGACGCGCGGTGACGCGGCTCCCCTGCTTGCGGCTCGCGGCGCAAACCTTCATGAATTATACAGATGATCCGTCCCGTCGGCCGCGACGATCCGCTCCGCGTTAGCGCCCAGAAGCAAACAGCCGGCGAGCCGGCCGCTCGTATTTATACTCCTCGCGCCGCTCCCCTCCGCGCAGACATGCCGACTGGGAGGGGCGACCCGCGCAAGCCGCGCTCATAAGCGGCCCTACACTTTAGCCGAGACGTTGCCCAGCGATGTGTTGTTACTGAATGCTTAGGGAGTAGTGTCGCTGCTACTGCTGCTGTTGCTGCTGCTGCTGTTATTAGTAGCAGTAGTGGAGTGCGCTCGACTAGAGTAGGAGCCACAGAGGCGTAATGCGGTTGAGAAGCGCGTGCAACGGTGGGGTGACCCTTCTCGCGTTGCTGCCGCTGACAGCTTTGGCTCTCGTGAGCGGCGACCCGCTCTTCACGAACCATTTTCTGGTGCAGCTGCATCAGGGAGACCTCGGCGTTGCTGGGCAAGTGGCGCGGGACCGCGGCTTCATCAACCATGGCCAGGTACTTCCAGCACATCGCACGGGCGCTTCGCGACCGGCGCTCCCGACACGCGCGCGGACGCTAATAGATTCCCGCCGTGCGCCGCAGAGCCGCGCGGATCGCTCGAGCATTGCTCGCGTTACTTTGCTCGTAGTGCGATCGCCTTTGAAATTGTAACTTTTTTTGGTTATTTATCCGCTCACGATGTCTTCGTGCGCGGCACCGCGTTGCTGTCGGGGCGCGAGGCAGTCGCCCAGCGCCGCACACTTTCAGCACCACGAGCCCGAGGGACAGCTCCGCTTTACGAGCGGAGTCCATTCGCCTGCGCACCCGTTACAGTCCAGACGCCGATGCAACACGCAGTGTGTGTAATACATACGCGTTGTTCATGCGTTGCTGTGAGTGCGCATACGTGCAAGAGACAATTATTTTCTGTACGGATGGATCCTGAAGGTCAGGTTGCAGCTGTATAGCCCTTCAGCCCAGACTAGCTATTTCACTTACCCGTATCACTCGAGGTGGCATAAATGTAGCGGCTACAATTTCTTTATCTGGCCAAATAACAGTGGATTACGTGATAACCACTTGAAATGAGTGGAGTTATTGAATAATTCACTCTCGTTAGCCGTGTGAATACATCGGTACCGCGAAAGTTGTTCTACCTTTGTCGGTGATGCTAATGCCTGCTGTGGCCCATGGACTTTTACAACAGCCCGGGAGAATCGAGCGAACAGAAGAAGGGAGCGGCGGCGAGTTGTTGGGTGCTTCAATATCATCGGCCGCAATGACCTCCAATTGTCTTGGCGACACGTTGCCGGTCTAAAGCTAGAGCCGTGGTGTTACGACACACGCGCAAGCCCCATGCGCGTGACCGAGTCGGCTGTGCTTTGTGCAAAGCGCTGACCGGCGCACTCTGCACAGGGACGTTCAATAGTGTCGGCTCTCGTGCGCATGTGATGTTATTCAGTCGAGCAGCGGCGTTCATTGAGTGGCGAAATCCACTGTTGTTAAGGAGCGGATACGAGTCTCTAAATGGATCAACCCGCACTATCGCTGCTTATAATTGTCGTGACATTTATAACTCTCATCAAACTTCCCCCCGCAAGGCGCGTCGGCGCGAGCAGTGACCTTAACACCGCGACTACACGAGCGCCGCCTTCATTTTAATTCCAGAGCTGTAAAACCGATAGCTGATGCCCAGGGACGCATGATTAGAATGTTCTGTATTTGATACAAGCTCGCAGTGTGTGTGTGTGACATTATTAAAGTCAAGGCATAATGTAGTCAATGAACATGTTTTCAGGGCGGTCTGTAAACCAAAATAGACGCGTGACTACTTTCCACAGTCATAATGAGGGGGGGGGGGTATACTGGATGTGATCTGCCGGGTGCGGAAATATTTTCCGGATTTCCTGATCCGGACCAGCGCAGCCGAAACGAAGACCCGGCTCCACTGTCGACAGACTGAGTCGCCGGGATTGAGCACGGGGCGTTTTCTGTGCAGCAGTGGCAAGCGCCACCACGTTTTTGTGTGAAGATTGACTACCACCATTTGCCCACCACTCCCTTGCCTCTGCGGTGCTATCATTGCACCTCGCTGACCCGTCGAGAGTCGTTAGCGTGGCGGTGGGAGCTCAGCGGAAACACAGCTCGGGGTTTTCGCACGGCGCGATGTTGGTTCCGCGGGCCGGCGTTTGGAGGACCAAAGTCTTTCAGGATCATCGACGTCCTTAAACGCGCAGTGACCACTCAGTCGGTCATGACTGACGCGACTGCCCGAGTGATGGTGATGCCATCCGTTCCGCCCCCCCCCCGACCCTGGGTTGTATTCTGTGTATCGCGGCGTGATGTTCCCTAGGCGTGCCTCCTGTGGCAAACCCCCAGCGTGGCTCCGATTGTAGGTTGCAGATTTCACGCCAAGAGCATGCGGCTGAATTCCCCACGTTTACTCACATTGTCTACATTTGCGCTCATATTCAAACTGTGCACTGTGTTATATATTCTTGGTTCTTTCGGTAAAGTCACGTATTATTTATTATTGTTTCCCTTCTACGTGACTTTACCGAAAGAACCAAGAATATGAATCCCTGCAGTCACGAAAGCTTTAAATCAAAATGTGCACTGTGTTGTGAAATATATTATAACCCGGTTGTTGTTGTTGTTGTTGTTGTTTTTTACGGAGAAAGGAGACGGTTTTCACGACAACAAAAGGCACATTAGATGGTACATTTTTGTGCTCTGGTCCATGGGCTATTACAATTCCATTATGCAAAAACGATTTACACTGCAAAATATATATACAAGGTGTACAGTGGCTACGAATTGCTAAATGCTTTGGTCTCGTTTTGCCGCAAGGTTAGCCGTGTATATAAATATGATGGCGCACATTTACCATTTTAGTGCAATGGGCGTTGTGCAGGAAGCTGTCCACACGATCTGCCATGGGTTAAACGAGGGTGAGCACTAAGGAAGCAGCAGCCTCTGGCTTCGCGAGGCTCATAAATGCGTATCTGGCTCCGTGGCTATAAATAGGGTTATGATATTGTTGTAAAGTGCCCGAATGTGAGTCGGAAGATTTGGTTGCCACCACACTGAGACGAGGAACAGATTTCCGTGTGGATTACGCTTTGAGCGCGCACTGTATACCGCGCATGCATCGTTGGAGGGGGGGGGGGATGGGGGGGGTTCTTGCGCTTGCTTCGAGACATGCTTCGTGCAGAGGTTAACCGACCTGATTTTAATATTTATAAGGTTTAAGACTGTGAACTTTGAAATCGACACTGTACACGGCATTTTCATTATACGGGGTGTATCTAAGAGATGGACCCAATGTCAAAGCAGTATATTTCACGATGGCAACATGTTATAATTACACAAAAAGTTACAAATGGTTTAATGACTTATCAAGTTTTACTAGCCATTTTATAAATGCTCTATGTGCCCTCCACCTGCTGTACGGACAACATCGAGACGATAGTTGAATTCGTCCCAAACGCCTTTCAAAGTGTCTTCCCATTGAAGTCACCGCTGCCGTGATTCTGTTTTTGAGGTCATCCAGATTAGTCGCTAATGGTGGCACAAAACACGGTCTTTGACATATCCCCACAAGAAAAAGTCGCAGGGTGTGATGATGTCTGGGGATCTTGGGGGCCAAGAGTGTAGTGCCTAGTCTTGGGGTCCCTTGCGACCTATCCAACGTTGAGGCAGTGTGTCGAATGACTGAGCCTAGGGGCTGTTTGTGCGCTGGGAGAGGCATCGAGCGGTAATCAATTGAAACTCTATGCCCCGCCCTTTCAAGTGGTAAGAGTTTCATTCATGGGCGGTTCGTGGTTGCAAAGATATGGCAATTTCAAAACGGGCCCATCTTTTTAAACACCCTGTAGCTTAAAAGTATGCCAAGATCCATGCATTAAACAAATCAAACATCTTGGCATATTGTTTAACCTTTCCATATCTTGGTCCCAACAAGAAGGCCACAAAGAGCGCCCATGAGTTCATATTCACTCCCGATGTCAAAGGTCACATCCTTAAATCCTTGCAATGCGTGATCGATGCACCCCCATCCCCTGTCCCAGCCCCCCCCCCCCCCCGCCCCTCCCGGTAGTGGCTGCGTCTTCTAGTTGATTAGTCTCCGATGTGCGACTTATGTCATCAGCGCCGGACAGATGAAAGTGACTTCATCTTTGATGAACCTCTATTACTCCAACCTCCAATGCTGCTTATCATCCTGGAGCCGCAAGAGAGGGAAAACTGTGTTACCTGATTTGGTGCGAGATCGATGTCTGCATTTACCTCCTCCACCGAAGCCACGGGGCTCGCGCAGTCACGCGCGGCCAAGCGCCGGCCGCGGAGACTTTGACTCGGAGACGCCGGCCAATTGAGGGCGGCCGCAATCGTTTGACTCGTCGGCGTTCCTGACCCCCCCACCACCCACCACCCCCCGGAGGACACCTCGTGACGTGCCAGCAGGCCGTGGAATTCGGACGGTGGATGCTCGCTCGGTGATTTTAACAATCGCTCAAGAGCTGAGACGTCTCCCTTCGGTGGACACGTTCTTCATCTTTTCGCTTGATATTCACGGAAGTCAACTGCAAGTGGGCATTTTTTACACGAACAAAGCGATACATTTTCAAACAATTACGCCTTACAATATGTACCATGCCGCAATGCATCACACAAAGGATATTTCTATTTCAGTGAGGCTAATACCACTCAGGGTTTTTTTCCCCCCTTCCACATAGCGGTGAAATGAATATGTGCTGCTTCATTACGCCAGCTGATTCAATTTGCCCAGACTATGGAGGCCCTTCCTCTCAAAGAGCGACACAATGTTATCGGCCAGCGCCTCCACGCAGCAGATGACTCAGTGATGTAATCCGGTCGCACGGAATCAGACTCGGGTTTTGTCTAAAGCTTGACCGGAGAGTCATTGTTTATAATAATAATATTGATGATTGTAATTTTATTTAATCTAGCATAATTCAAGGAAATTGCAACTCAGATCGTTGTCGAAGTTTGTAACGGGCCTAGAATTTTAACACCGAGGTTCGCGAGAACCACCGACGCCAAGGATTGCCCAAGTTCTGTGGTCCATAATTGGGATGTATGGCCAACTCTAATTGGTAAGACATCGCACTACCTAGGCACATAGCGTATCGACGACCGATTTCTATATTTTGATGGGAATAGACTGGCGTTGCTAGTTTATATTCAAAACATTGGCATTTACTGGGCCATACACCCAGAGCTGCGTTGGCTAAATGTATGGCTGTCCTCGTATTTCTTTTTCCTAAATCTGGGAAATAAAAAAATCACCCGCAAAGTAAATAATGGCGCATCAGATAAAGCAATTGATTTGAAACAGAGGACGTGCCGTGTAGCGTGTCTGTGTGTGTGCGTTAGGGTAAATGTTGGTGTGTGCGTACTTGATTGAAGCGGTAGTGTAGCGGTTAGCACGAACCCGGCGATCCGAGTTCGATTCCCACTCACGGCCAACACCAGTGACGATTATCTGAACCAGTACCTGGTGCGGTGTATACACATCGCCACCGGGGGGACAAAGGCGGCCGGCGTTGTGTTGGCAACCCATCCCCTCGTGTGCCTTGCCGGACATCATAGATACTTGCTAATAGCACTTACCCCAACAGTTTGTTAAGGCTATACGGGGAATATTTGTCTCTGTGGTTGGGAGATCGTCATGTACTGTGCCATGGTGTGCACGCGTTTGTCATGGTGTGGTTGACCTCGTGTTTGCATCATGGTGCATTGGTAAGTGTCATGATGTTCGTGTGAGTGTGTGAATTACTGTGGGGAGCGGTAGTGTTACGGTTAGCGCGCTGCGCTAGGAACCTGTGACCGGGGTTCGACAGCACTTGCCCCAGCAGTCTGTTAATGATATATGTGGGATCTTTGTCTTTGTGTGATGTAAGCAATTTTATTTTTGTTGTTGTTGGTACACACACAGTGCCACTGGTATTGTTGGCGAAATTTTCTATCGCTGAAAAGAATCCTGCAAATCACTCAAATGGGATTACACATGACAACATAGTCCCTCTATGGCGATAACGTGGCAGCACCCTCCTGAAAGAGATCATCGTGACGAAGCGTCTGTCACCGCGTGCACACGAGTAGCACGGCTGGCTACGTACGGTGCGAAAGAAGTTCAACATACACACATTTCCGGTGTGTCCGCGTGGGAGCGTCGTGCTATGTGTGTGTGTGACTGCGTACTATGTGTGTGTGTGTGACTGCGTGCTATGTGTGTGTGTGAGACTGCGTGCTATGTGTGTGTGTAAGCATCACGGTTTGCATGCGGGACCGCTACGAGTCTGACGCCCTCATCAAACTCTCCCCCACCCCCTTCCCCAGCTCCACTTTGCTCAGGACCTCTTCCACTTCTCCCACCCCGCGGCGGCGCGGGCGAGGAGGCGGCGCAGCCTCTCTCACCACCTCCGCCTCGAGAGGGACCCCAGGGTAAGACGCACAGGGAGCCAGAGTGACACGCGGAGGAATTGCACAGCCGGCAGGCGTTCATTACCGAGGCTTCGCTGTTTGTTTGTCTGCGTGCTGGGCTCCCATTATTCAGCCAAAAGGTGACGCGTGTTCGTCCCAGCGTGCCCGCAGGGCGGGCTATGAGCGCATTTACAGCTGACTCGAGGAGGTATTTTGCACATGTGCACAATTTCATCTTTCATCGCATCAATTTGCCGCCTTAAGCAGTCGTGGCCACCGATGATAACTGGAGCGACGGCGAATGAATCGAGGCAGTCGATGGGAGTTTGTTTTGCACACCGAGATGTCGGCAGGGACAGCGCGACCTGGCTGGCAGCATGTCACCACTACGTGTGATCCACCATGCGCTCACCCCCTACCGATCTAACGCCTCTCATTCTCACTTTACTCTCCTCCGTCGACTCACCCCTGCATATCTCTCATCGAAATCTTCCCCTCGCACTCACCCCGAACAAGCTCTTCCATCTCGACTCACTCTATTTGCCTACACGTGTGATCTCAGCTCCAAGAACCGAGCGCTTCCGTCAACCTCCTCGGTAAAACTTCCACGAAATCGCACGTCAACTCCTGCTCAGCTGCTGCGATTGTGGCCTGGAGATATCACACCCTCGGCCAACCGTGGCTTGCCAAATCTCTACTTTGTGTGTGTTTAGTTTGTGGTCTTTCCCCCGCACCTTCGATTAGCACGGTTGGCTACGTACGGTGCGAAAGAAGTTCAACATGCATACCCCCTGTTCGAATCTAGGTCCAAGGCCTTCCGCTTTTCCTCTGCCGATGACTATTTATTTTACTCAATTGCATCTTACATTACGAATGTACATCCCGCTATTGTAGCACAACCTCTTGAGATGCAGTTAAATTTATGTTACAACTCTAAACTTCAATTATAACCGTGTCCTCGGTCACACCGCTACCAAAGAAAGCCACGTTACAGCTCATGGCAGAAGGAACGCCACATTGAGGCCAAGATGTATTTGAAATGACATCGTATCGTACAATGGGTTTTTTGTGATCGTTTTTTTTTCCATCTGGGTAACAAATTAAGTGAGTCCGTCTCTGAAGCGAGTGAAAATAGCCTCAATTTGCACGCTTCAGGAACACCGTCGCTCTGCTGTGAACGATGCCTCCCTGCCAGCTGGGGCGGTGGTGGTGGAGGGGGGGGGGCACGGCGGTGCCAGGCCCTGGCTCGGTCGTAATGTGAGCCAGTCACGGGGTGACGGTGCGGGGAGGTGCAATTGGCGTGCGCCCACGTTCCTTGCCGAGTTCGTGGTGGCAAGGTACAGGAATTGCTTTTTTTTTGTGAACGGCGTTTTTTGATGCGTCGCTTCATAATCAAACCCCCCCCCCCGCCCCCCCCCCCCGGGCATGAGCCCGATTTCAACTGCTCTCGTGACGCCCGGCAGATTTGAGCCTGAATAGCGCTTAAGATGGGCGACCGTCTGGAATATTCCAGACGGTGTCCGCTGCCGTGCGGGATACGTCGCAGCAAGAAACCACCGTTGCGCCGCCACCATGCGCCGATGTCTTCTTACGCTGCCCACCTTCAACAACCCTGAGCGGTGTGGTGGATGGAGAATGATTAGATATCCCCTCCCGTGGAAACCCGCACGGTGTGGGTGCTAGGCATGAATCGCATAGCGGAAATTCAGACCGAAAAAGGCCGTGAGCGCGTGCATTTCGTTGCGGTTGAGCTGATTTTGCCGTTCTGCGGTGACTTTCCTAAACCGTGAAGACTCCCGTACTTCCATGGAGGGGCCCGGTGCGTTTGTTTCATGCTCGACGTAACCCTGCGACGTGTGTCCCGTGTGTTTTGTGCGCTCGCTTTGAGAATTGCCGATGGGACTCCATTGTTTCCAATTACCAAAGATAACCCGTTACGTATTTTTTAGCGATAATCAGGACTTGGGTAGTCCTTCATCCAGCAATGGATTAGATAGGTCACGGCTGATGATGATAAAGTATTGTATTAGAATTATATTTTTTTGATTTAAAGCTTTCGTGACTGCAGGGATTCATATTCTTGGTTCTTTCGGTAAAGTCACGTAGAAGGGAAATAATAAAATAATACTAATATTAAACAATAAAACAATAAACATTCTCACGACGTTTCGACTGCAACACAAGCAATCATCACTGATGATCACTGATGATAATTGCTTGTGTTGCAGTCGAAACGTCGTGAGAATTTTTGTTTAATATTTGTATTATTTTATTATTTCCCTTCTACGTGACTTTACCGAAAAAACCAAGAATATAATTATATCTGTTAAAAAAAACCCACATGTACCTTCTTATTTGCTCATTGTTCCTCTGCGTGTGAAGCCGCCGTCCAACATCTTGTTTGATTATATCTGGGCTTTTTTTTCTTTCACCCGCATCATTATATAAAGAGTATTCCTGGACGTATTATTGGGACAGTGTTCGCGGTCATCACAAATGCATCCCAGCTGTGGAGAAGGAAAATCGGCTGCTCGCCTTCTGCAAATTGTTTTCACAACAAAGATCCCCTGTCGAGTCTTTCACTGACTGTTGGGGCGAGTGCTGCTAGCGAGCGAACTACGAAGGCCGGACACAACACGCGAGGGGGTGGTGTGGGCCAAGCACCACACCCGGCCGCCTTTGTCTCCCCCAGTGACGATGTTTACACACCGCACTGGATATTCATTTGAGGCTCAGTCGACCTAACGAAGATGTCCAAGACCGGTTCAGATACTGTATTCGCCGCAGTTAATGGCCATGCGCGGGAATTGGAACAAAAATCGTGTCAGTTGCGTCGGTTTTCGTATCTCAGTGCGTTCACCACTGCTCCCACCGCTCCAAAGACACACACAGAGACACGCACGCGCACGCACGCACGCGCGCACGCGGTGTTGCCTTTGCCGTGCTGATCGAGCCTGAGCTGCATTATTAATGAAGGATAATTTGAGAGAGTTCCTAGCGGGGTGAGAGATTGGGGGCCTGCGTTAAAATTCACTACACCGCATGCGTTCACATCATCGTGAAGATGCAACGAGAACTCGCTCTGGGCTCGCCGTGCCTGTCCTACGCTCATTATGGGGGGGGGGGGGGGGGGGGATTTGGAGCTGCAGCTTTGTAAGATTCGAGAAAGCTAAATATGAAAATGAATAAACGGCTTCGTTGAACCATCGAGGCTCAAGAGCAGCTGCAGGAGGCCTGGGCACGTGGAGGACTGTGGATTTTGGGCATCGCGGACTGAATAATTTATCAGAGACTGTACACTGAATCATTTAAGCGCGCGCTGTGTGTAGCGTGATAGTGTACAGGACGGGCATTGCCTGCTTCTGTTTTGTTTCGCCAATCTCCAAAGCTCGCTCTGCTCAGCTCTAATACGCTGTGCCCAGCGGCTTAAGTAGCAGCATTCAATAGCTACCTTGCCTCCTCCGCACGCAATTATCACCATTCCAGGTGTCGTCAATTCCAGGTGGCTTTTTTTATTCAGCTGCAGGACAGTGCTCATCAAGAGGGGACATTTAAGCGAGTTGATAGTTGATAGCGAAACGTGTATTTCTTATCTTGACATTGCCATTGTTGGCTATAACACACAGTGACTAAGCCAGTTGCGGTGGATATGAAGAATATTTCATTATCCGTCCGTGGACACATTTCATTTTGGATTTAGTCAGGGCCAGCCTCGACGGGAATGGCATCCTGAGTGAACACAACTTTATTGGCACGTGTAAGTAAACTGCTAAGGGGCTCTCATCGGAGGCGAAGTCAGAGGTGTAGGGGAGGGGGGGAGATCACACACGCAACTTCTATCCCCCCATCACATCTTTGGGGGGCCTGGGCGGCCGCCCTTGCCCAAGCCCCCCACCTCGAAAGCATTTGCGAAATATATTTATTATGCCTCCCGCGACTTTGAACCGACATCGTCAGCCCGTCAACCAGCATTCATTTAACAAAGTGCAGCTTTGCCGTGTTGGAGCTCGGCCAGGCAGGGGGGCGGGCTGTAAAGAGGACATTGCCATGCGTGACAGCTCGCACAGGTGACTGAGGCCACCTGTCCTGCCACTGCGCTTGGCCAGTCGATCGCTGTTCTCCAACACTCGAGGCGTGTGACTTATTAAAGTATAGTTTATTTATTATTTATTTTACTGGGTAAGACCCACTGAGCTGTACAGCTCTTTTTCAGAGGCGACATTGGCCACGAATGATAGCGCAACGAAGTGGCTTATCATGTGCACATTCATAGCAGCCAAATACTCTTAAGCGCCCGTTTCTAAATGTGGAGGGAAAACCCGGAGGACCCGGAAAAAAATCCACACGACCACGGGGAGAGATACATGAAAGCTGAAAGCTCAAAATATACAGCAGGCATCAGGGTCGGGATAGAACCCACGACCTCCTGTGGACCAGGCGAGGTAGTTAACATCTCGCCACCGCGGCGACTCTCGTCAACGTGTAGTTCTGACTTCCCGCGCGTTGTCCAAATCCCCTTCCTTCCCCCCATCGTAGCAAAATATAGCAAGAGAAACAAGATCCTTTAATATGACTGTCATCACAACGATGAACACCGCTGGTGAAGAAGCCACCCATTGACCCGAGGCAATTTGGCCGTTTTGTTTTTTTAAACCCATCTTGATAGTCACGCTCACAATACAATCGCTATATTTTACAATGGCACATTTTTTTGTTCAGTTGCTTAAGACAACTAAATAAAAAGCAAAGTTGGCACATCTATTCACGACGGAGAGGCTTCCGGCCGCCGTGGCAATGCGGAATTTTCACTCCGAGCTTCAACGGGCCGGTAACTGAGACGAGCTCGATTTGAAGCTTTCGTGACTGCAACGATTCCTACTCTTTGTGTTTTTTCGGTAAAGTCACGTAGGTAAAAAAATAAAATTAATAAAAGTATTAATAGAAATAAAAGAAAAAATCACATTTATTCTTTATTAATTTATTTTATTTCTATTATCACTTTTATTAATTTTAATTACATTTTTTACCTACGTGACTTTACCGGAAAAAAACCTAAGAGTACTGAGACGAGCGCCAGTCGTCCGCTGGTTTAATCGGAGACACAGATTAAACCACTGTCGTTGCCATCTCTGCTGCGACCCACAATCGAGGGCGTTTGTCACCGCAGTTGTTCTCACCCCCCCCCCCCCCCCCCCCGCTCGTTGTTCGTCGTGCCGTGGATGCGTGCGGCAGGTGAAGCGCGTGGTGCAGCAGGAGGGATACTCGCGAAACAAGCGCGGATACAAGTCCCTGGACAACTTGAACATCGACATGAACGACCCGCTCTTCAGCAAGCAGTGGTACCTGGTAGGAAGGACCCCCACACCCAGATTGTTACTGCCGCCACCTTGTCTCGGGTCGCCTGGGATTGTTGACATGTTTTTGTTTGAGTCAGCCATCCGGGCTCTTCTGTAAGTCTTCTGCGAAATCTTCTTGGTTCTTTCGGTAAAGTCACGTAGAAGGGAAATAATACAATAATAAAAATAAAACATAATAATGACTTTACCGAAAGAACCAAGAAGATGAATCCCTGCAGTCACGAAAGCTTTAAATAGAAATTCTTCTGCGAAACATTACAATTCCCGGTTGTTAATTTTTTTACGAGTAATTGTTTTCCCCTGCACCTCCGATTAGTATGGTTGGCTACGTACGGCGCGAAAGAAGTTCAACACACATACATACATACATGAGGCGTTTAAAATAAAAAGAGCACGCCACTCAAAGCAACGCGTGTACACGCAGCTCTGCTCTCCTCCAGGATTGTGACATATTCTTCCCATTACATCTGTTCTGCTTCGTACCTCAAGAGGTGGCAACCTTCGTCACTATACATGGGCTTCATTTGCTAATGGTCCCGGATTAATGTTACTTTGCGTGCGTTTCGCAACCTGAGGCTAAAATGCAAAGTGAACGCTAAAAGCACTGCACTTAGGGGCTAAAGAGGCGCTTTCTGACGCAATGAAACAACGCCGTCCCATTTGTCCGCCATCACGTGTGCTCCTCGGCACCCGCAGCTCTTCCAACGATGACAATTAGCAAGTCTGTGACAAATCGTTAAATAACGCGATACGTGACAAAATCGATACGTGACAAATTCGTTGCGCCTCTCTGCGCGGACGAGTGGTGGATGTCCATCCCGTGGAAAATGCGCTCTAAGCAGAAGTCGTGCACCTGTGAGCTCTTAAGCGGACACGCATTTCCTCAAGTGTTCCATGATGCCGCACCGTGTTCACAGTCCTGGTGGATACGTCTCTTGTGTCTCTGTTGCGCTGTCGCTCTCCTGTGCCTCCTTATTACCCCCCCACCCCCCCACCACCATCCCCCTCCTCATGCCCCATATTCACGGTCCCCCCCTGTCGCCCCCCACCCTCGCACACCCCCTCCCCCTCCCCACGTCTGCCTCTCGATGTCCTAGATAAACACGGGGCAGGCAGATGGGAAACCTGGACTGGATCTGAACGTGGTGGAGGCTTGGGAACTCGGCTACACGGGCAAAGGAGTGACCATCGCCATCATGGATGACGGTGGGTCCGTTTTGTGTTTGTTCAAAACAAAACACAGGGCCACGTTTTACAAAGGTGTTCTATTGTGAACGCTGCTGGTCTTTGTTGTGTTACACCGCTGATGTTTTGTGCATCGACCGCAGGTATCGACTACCTTCACCCGGACCTTGCCGCCAACTACGTGAGTCAACGCACACTCGCTCACTGCCGTCGACGCGCCGAATCGCGAGCGGCGTTGGCGCGCGTAACGCCCAGCGAACGGTGCTGCTGAGCTGTGTGAGATCTGATGAAGTGGTGCACGCTCAGGGCGATTTGATCATAGCCTCAACAGGGTCTGTGGACGGTTTATTTTACGTAATATATATTTTTTATTCGCATCACGATCATTATTTTGCTGAGTTATGCGTACTCCTGTGTGCAACGCGCACCTGGATGTGTCACCACCTAACGAGAAGCTGCAAGGCAAAGGACAAGCGGAGTGGGGAGTGAATGCAGTGGTTGTGACACCACACCACCGGTTACTGAGATTCACAGCAAAGTTAGCCGCTGTGGCATCAAAGACGATGTCATGGCGCCATTGATCCTCCGTTGTACAAACTGCAGCGCACATTGGAGGTTGACATCCGACACGGTGACTTCCTTGCTCAATATTTTGGGGAACACCGCTGTAGGCTGGCTTAAAACGTGATCTATCGGCGTAAGGCACTCCCTCTAGAGATACATGATACGCGCATCCATAATCCTATATTATCGCGCCCTATATTCCTATAATGCTAGCACAAGTTTATAGGAATATAGGGCACAAGGACAAACATGATGCGATACGGATGTGGCACGTCATATATGATTCGCAGAGCAGCATCAAGGATTGTTCCAGCTGAGATGCAGCATTCACCACGGCACCTGCAGTAGGGCTGAACGATTAATCGATTTAAAATCGAAATCGCAACTTGAAACAATGTGATTAGCAAATCGCAAAGGCTGCAATTTTTTACAATTTGAAAAGTCAAATTACTTTCTTATTGTAATTTATTTATTATTTATTATTATAACTTGATTTATTTAACTTTACAATTGTTCTATGTTTGAGTGTTCTATTTCATTTTAAAAACATTTCTAAATACCTGTTGGACGCAATTAATATATTTTAAGTTCTCATCCATGCATTGGAATAGATAGAGCAGTTCATATTTTGATGGTATCATGTGGTAATGCTCCATCACATGTTTTAAATCTATTACACAGTGAATATTGAACTGAAGCTTGACTTTAAAAATATTTAATCGCAAATAAAATCGCAATATCTGTCAAAAAAATCGCAATGAGATATTATCCCCAAGTCGTTCAACCCTCACCTACAGTCAGCCCTCGAAGCTCCCTCGCCATCAACCAGGAGCATGGTCAAGAAGACGCTTTGAATGGTTAAGTGGGGAGGGGGACACAGACTACGAGTTAGGCGCACACAGGAACAACACAAGCTGAAGTGGCTCATGAATTCTGCCCGCTTACATTGTGCAAGGTTTACGCTGGTGGTCGCCCGAAAGGCTTGTTCGACATCGAGTGGCTTAGCTTTGTAATGGTTAACTAATGCGGGACGATGTGCAACATTGTTCCCGGCCTGCAGCAGCAATAAAAAAATATATATAAATGAGCAGGTAGTAAAAGTGTAGCGAGCGGAGTGTGCACTTAACCGGGCTGACAGTGTGAATGGAATGGATTTGTAATGCACTTGCAATGAAAGTCTGCGTGTGACAATCCCCGCCTTGTTTAACGCATCACGTAGAATTAGGATTCTGCAACAAAAAAAATGGATTTTGTTGAAAAGTGAAATCGCTGTAATTGTCGCTTTTGTTTAGTTTTGCTCAGCCCTGCATTAAAACTTGAAACTGGGGGTAATGGCAATAATGTGATTGAATAAGAACGTGCGTATTCGTGGCAAAAGGGTGGCATTTCAACAGTGAAACACATTGCTAAATTGCATTACAAATAAGTGCCGTAACAAACTGTGTACATGCCTATGCTTTTTGTCTTTGTATTAACGTTCAATCTGGAATGGTATTTATATTTTTTATATCTCAAATGAGTACCTGGTGCGGTGGTGTGTAAACATTGGCCACTAGGGAGACAAAGGCGGTCGGACGTGCTGCTGGCCACCCACCCCCTCGTGTGCCGTGCAGGCCTTCATAGGTGCTCGCTAACAGCACTTGCCCCAACAGCCTGCTAAGGCTACACGGGGGATCTTAGTCTTCATAAATGGCAATAGTATAAGCGACGTGATAGGCCACATTTTGAGATATGCGAATGTCACCCCAAACTTTACTTAATAGAAGAAGAAAAACCTCTGACAATGCAGTACATACTATGACTCAAAATAATCATAAGCGGCATTGTCGAGAATAGATGATAAAATAGAAAAGCGGACAATGCGACTCCATATTCCCGTCTCTCCACGATAATAATAAAAAAAGTATTTCACAATCCATGGCCTGCACGGGGACATCCGCACTCACGGAAGTACAATACTCACAGAAGGCCGTGCTGATGATGGGTTGTGGAAGAAACGCATTACTTTATGTCAAGTAGACGGATGCATCGAGACGATATATTGTACGCTTATTTATTTCATTACCTACTATGGCATCACTGCTTGGCCGGTGCCAAGGTCTTGGAAGCAAGGACGAGGCGACTCAGAAGAGGAGTGGGTGGGGAGAGTCGTATTACTTCTCATCACCGGCGCAGAGCCCCGAGTCTCCACCACCAGCCCCCTCCAAAGGGTGATCCTGTAAACAGCAATGAACCAAACCTAATGAACAAAAAGCGGAGTGAATCTACGCATTCGTGCCGAATAATCCCATCTCGCGGTGCGTCGAGAGGCGAAAGACGCCGAGATTTACGTTCACGCCGCGATCCAATTAGACCCTCCGACGGAGGGCTCGCGTAAAACAAAACGCCACTTTGAACAGATTAATTCTGCCGGCGTTGGTTATAACAGGCGAGGCGACGGGTAAGTTAATCAATCCGTGTTTGCTCTGCTCGCAGCATGCCGAGGCCAGCTACGACTTCAGCAGCAACGATCCCTTTCCGTACCCACGCTACACCGACGACTGGTTCAACAGGTAACGCGCGCACGTGGGACGGTGCGCGCAGTGTCCCCCGCGGGGTAAGAGAGAATTATGAATCGAGATTTGAAGTTTTCGTGACTGCAGGAGTCCATGCTCTTTGGTCCTTTCGGTAAAGTCACGTAGGTATACAATAAATTAAATCACGACGTTTCGATTGCACCTGACGATGATTGCTTGTCGTGATTTAATTTATTTTATTTTATACCTACGTGACTTTACCGAAAGAACCAATGAGACTGCCACAGTTGGCTTCGTCATTTGTAAGGGTCCAGAATTGCGATCTCGATTCGGGGTCAATTCAGACGCTCATTATAATTATGATCGCCGCTCGAGGTTGGATGTAAGTCAGAATATGAACACTGGAGGAATCCGATGAGCTATGAAGCTCTTTTTCACAGATGCCCAGTAGGGGCGGGTGAGAACGTTGCAACAACAAACAGTACAAGAAAGGTAAACAAATCACCCAAACACACAAATAAAACTAAACCATCCCCATTGTCCAAGGCAAAGCTCACTGAGGTATTAACTTATTTTTCAGAAGCGACCTGGCCGCAAATGATAGCTCAACAAAGTGGCCCATCATTAGGACATTTATAGCAGCAAAATAATCTAAATAATCTCAACGCATGTTTCTAAATATGGAGTGGAAACCCGGTGGACCCAGAGAAAAAAATCCACGCGACCACGGGGAGAAACAACGCAAACTCCAAATATACAGCAGGCGTCAGGGTCGGGGTGGATCTTCCGACCTCCTGCATACCAGGCGAGGTAGTTAACATCTCGCCACCGTGACGCCTCGGGGGGGGGGGGGGAAGTCGGCAATAGCTTGTCCAACGGAAAGGTTGACTGCACAAAAGGGATGTTCGCCGTGGGATATCTGGCTCACGGCCACGAGTGGGTTTAAGCTTCTTCCCGGCATGCTCGAGTGAGCAGAGATACGCGCCGACGTCGCCTTGGAGTGGAAATGAAATGAGATGATGTTATTTCCCCCTCAAGCTAGGCTTGCAATGTGCGCTTCGTGTCTGTGTGTGTGCACGTCTGCGCGCGCGCGCGTGCGTGTGATGCGAGGAGCGGTATCACAGTGGTTCGTTCACTGCATTATTAACCCGGCGAACCAAGTTCGATTCCCGTTCACGGCGGGACATCAGCGGCGAAAATATTTGAAATGTCTCTGGGCCCCTCCCACCCCCACCTTCTTAAATGGGTACCTGACGCGGTGTCAAAATCTTGACCACTGAGGAGACTAAGGTGGCCGGGCGTGGTACTGACCACCCACCCTCTCGTGTGACATGCCGGCCTTAATTTGCACTCGTTAACAGCACTTGCCCCAACAGTCTGCTAAAGGCTATACGGTGGGACCTTTGTCTGTGTGTGTGTGTGGAGCAGCCATGGAACCCGCTGTGCGGGGGAAGTTTCTGCAGTCGCCAACAACAACGTGTGTGGAGTGGGAGTCGCGTACAACTCGCGCGTGGCAGGTACGCGAGTCACGTGCACAAACAAGAACAAACGATCCCCCCAGGTAGCCTCGACACGGACTGTCGGCTTGCAAGTTGCTGCTCGCGGCCACCGCTTATTGCCAACACGGCGGACGATGTGCGCGGCATGGCCAAGCACCACGCCCAGACGTGACTCAGATAGTTGCCACTGATTGTTGCCCGCTGCCGGCTACGTAATGCGGTGCAGTAATTACGTATGAAACACACCGGCATTGGGCGGCCCACACAGGCATTGCTCGCCGCACCGCTCCCAGTGGCTTGTGAAAGAAGCCTCTCTGGCCCTTTTCTCCATCCACAAGGTAAGAGGTCTCTGTTGTTCAGGGCACACGGGTCCCACACCTTCTCTCCCGCAACGCCCCCGAACTTCGCCTCCCGCTCCCTCTTTTAACCTCTTCCTGGCTCCGTACCTCGTCGCACCCCGTCCCCGTCACTCATCATCCACTCTTTTTTTACGATCAGTGGAAACAAGAAGATGCTCGGTGTAGTCGGCACTTTGCTTCGTTCATCATCCTCTCTAACCATCACCTGGCGTAACCGTCCCACCTGACGGCTCACCCAACCCTCCAGCTACTTTTCCCTTTTGAACGTTCCGGCCAATCCTCTTGCTCTCCGTGCTCTAACCAATCAGAGCGTGGAGTGTTTTCCCCCGCCTTCTTTATTTCTGTGTCCCAGGGATCGTGCGAAACAATCACTACACTTGTACCAGTCATTGTACAAGCCCCGAAGGTCGAAGCGCCTTTTCCAGAGCTGATGACAAAAATCACCCGAATGGGCCCAATCCATCCTGATTGCTAAGTGTGGTTGAGCCCCGGTTAGCAATTGGACGGGAGGCTTCCTAGAAACACCAGGTGGTGTTGCTGATTTGGATTGTGAGGGTAGCCGGGAGCTGGCAGCAAAGCAATTGATTATATAATCCATCTCTTGGGAGGTTTGAGTGTTATTTCCTTATACGTGTGTGGGTTTTCTCCCGTGTGTTCTAGTTTCTATTAACACAGTGCGAGCTTCCCGTGAATAGAATTGGCCAAAATCCAAATGCAGGGCCCTCCTTAGTGGACTCTTGGGACAATATACACGTCCGTGTGTTGCTTGTTTAGGTCACGTGAATAGTTTTGTTATGCTGATGACACCGGGTGTAGCAATTCCGCAGAGCTCCGCACTCACACGTGGGAAAGGCGTTCGATGAAATCCGACTTGATGGCTGGCTCACACCCATCATCCTGCTCGGGTCGATACAATTCGCACCACATTGTTGCGAGCCAGCAGTGCTTATTCTGTGGCGACGTCGGTCCCGGTCAACCGAACGTGGAAATTTCCACCATGACAGGCTTGCTTGCAGAGGTAAACACTGACAAACGCTCATTTGAGGAGGGAGAAACACCTTTGACTCCGTAATGTTACCACCGTCTAAAGCGGGTTTTTATTTATTTTTTGCGTTGCCTGCGGGGAAAAAACGGATGCTAATCACGTACAATAAATTTGCTGTCAGTGCTAAAGAGACGTATTATTGACCCTGTTGCGTTTGATCTCAGTTTGCGTCCACGCGCTCCCCCCTCCCTCCCTCCCAAGATTAGTCCCTTGCTCTCGTCGGCAATGGCAGCGGACCGTGAATTAAATTGCTTGCAGCAAACGCTCGTGTCACCCCCAACCTCGGCTTCCAAATTCATCAGCTCCTTTGACAGCTCGGCGCGGGCGCTTTCCTCCTCCTCCTCCCTCCTCCCCGGCAGAATGACAATGACGTAACCCCGCTCGGACTGCCGAGGCCACGGCACTGCGTGTACCCTGTCAAGGGTCTGCGCTGTTATTCCACGGGGCTTGATTTCTCCACACTTGAGTTCGTGTGATACCCCCCCAACACCCGTCTCCCCTCCCACCCACCCAACCATCAACATCTCGCCAACTCCTCCAACCAATTAATGTAACGGGCGATCGTCGCTAATACGCAACTGTTGCGTTCTGCACGTGCCGTCTGTTCGCGCGGCACGATACGCCAGGGCCGCGGCGGCCGTGGCATAAATCACCATGGCATTAAAACACGACGACGACGACGAATTAAATTAACTGTCAAAAGTGAGGACTGTTCCTTCCCCGGAGTGGCGGAATGGGACGCGCCGCAGTGTGCGGCTGATGCAGCGGTGTGCGGCTGATGCAGCGGTGTGTAGCGTTGTGCGCGTGGCGCGCGTCGCGGGAAGGAGGGCCGGGTAGGGTTGGCGATCGCGGTGGCACGGGCTCTTCCGCTTGGCCGTGCCCGTGCATAATGCACTTCGGCAATGAATAGCGCGGCAAACCCGACGCGTAGAATGGGATTGTGGGTCTCGGGGATGTGGTTTGCCGGAGCACAAATGTACACGAAAACAGCCGGGAGTGAAATTGACGCACGTGCCAGAAATAGCGCACTTAGAGCGATTAAATGCACCGTGGCTCGTGCCTTCCACCCGTACCCGCACGTGTGCGCCATTGGGTGTCGGCGTGCACGTGTGCGTCTGTGTCTGTGCACGTGCGTGTGTGCAGATCTGCATGTAGGTGTACGCCTCCCTAGGTCGACTCAGCCTCAAATGAGTACCTGGTGCGGTGTGTAAGCATTGCCACTAGGGAGACAAAGGCGGTCGGGCGTGGTGCTGGCCACCCACCCCTTCGTGTACCGTTCCGGCCTTCATAGGTGCTTGCTAACAGCACTTGCCCCTACAGTCTGTTAAGGCTATATGGGGGATCTGTATCTTTGTATGTGCGAGCACCTGCTGTTGTGTGCGTGCTGGTGCACGTGTGCCCGTGCGTGCCCGTGCGTGTGTATGCGGTGGCATAGCTATCCAGCGTGCGTGGCGGTGCTACTAATCCCGGGTCAAATGCAAATACTTCTCCAACAATTACAACAGTAGATGTCTCTTAAATAATGAGCATTTACCCCTTCGCGGGCGCTAGCAAGAGGAGGGTAAAGATTTGGCAAGGGGTGCTCCCGTTTCACGCTTTGCACGGGGGGGGCGGTTGGCCAATACCAAGTGCTCTGCGCGCCACCGTGCCTCTACGGCTCCGTGCACGCGCGTGCGCACGTCCGCGTGCGTGATTCGCGCGCGTTCCCGTGTTGCAGGCATCCGCATGCTGGACCAGCCCTTCATGACGGACATCATCGAGGCGTCGGCCATCAGCCACCTGCCCCAGATGATCGACATCTACAGCGCCAGCTGGGGCCCCACGGACGACGGGCGTACTGTGGACGGCCCTCGTGAGCTCACTCTGCAGGCCATGGCCGACGGCGTCAACAAGGTTCGCTCCGGGAGTCGGGCGAAGATGGGCCATGGGGCAGAGCGGCTGTGGGGAGTCGAGAGGGCGTAGTGGGGGGGGGGGGGTCCGTGCGATCGCGAGGTGCTGCGGACGGGAGGCAGCGCTGCAGGATCTGGCGAGTGCGCGCGCCGACGCCTAATTGGGAGGAATTCCGACCGCGAGGCTGCGTTACCCATCCCGCCGACCTGGCTACGCTCGCTTGTTCAGTGTCCGCGTGGCGTGCGAAGGCGCTGTGCACTCCTCTAAAGCTTGGCGCCTGCTCGTTAAGATGACTCCGTTCGCTCGTTAACGCCAGCGCACGTGCCGTTGTGTGCGGGGAGCGGTGGCGCAGCGGTTAGCGCGCTCCACGAATAAATCGGTGACACGAGTTCAATTCCCGCTCACGGCCAACACCTGTGATGAATATTTGAAACGGTCCTGGGCCTCCCCTAGGTCGACTATTAGGAAGACAGAGGTGGCCAGCTTGATGTAGGCCACTTAACCCCTTCGTGTGCCGTGCCGGCCTTCATATGTGCATCGCTAACGGCACTTGCCCCAAAGTCTGTACGGGGGGTCGTTGTCTTCATTCGGCAACAATATCTCATCGCTAGGTCTCCTGGGTGCGTCCCCTCCGCTCTGTCACGAAGAGAACCGCGAGCTCTCTCACCTGTTGGCGTCCCTGCACTTGATAATTGAACTGTAATTATACTTTGCGCTCACATTGTATCCCAATACAAAGATGATGAAAGCCTTCTGAAGAGCGACAATTTTTTTCGTCCACATTCTATAAATAGGAATTAAGCACGTCCATATTTTAAAGAGAAACCCTTAAGTAATGTCCCACCGCAAAGCACGGAACGTAATTGTTCGTGAAATAATTTGACGAAAATATCACGCGATGCCCGTGAGCTCATCGACACACCCCAGACTCATTAAGGCTCCCACGCGGCCCGCTGAACATCATCCCGCTGGGAGGGAGGGGGTTGTCGCCACCACGAAGACACGCTGCTCTCTCACGCGCGCAAACCTCAGAGAGCCGAGGCCGCAGTTCGAATCCGGGGATCCTCGTTGGCCTGGGCCTGATCTCATTTGCCAACGTCGTCCCCGATTCCCCGGCCTCGCGGGTTCTTTACGCTGGGATGTCCGCGAGCATCGCCGACGGGAAAGGGCCGTTTTGCGCCGTCGCTGGACATCTGCTCTCTGCAAAGTTTCCCAAACGACGCGATCCTCGACACGTCGTTGTCGCTGTATCCCTCGGGGTTTGTCCATTGCGCCGTGGACCACGTCTTTCGCTCAAGTCCAGGTTTCCACTTTCGGGGGCATGCGGTTGTGCGTCAAGAGTCAATGGCTTGTGATTCGCTAGGCACGTGTTTATTTCATATTCATATCGGCTGAATTCGGTCATTGTGCTCACAAGTACGTGCACGGAATCACGCGCGTGAGAATCGACACGTTGCAGTTCATTGAAATCTTGTGAAATGATTTGCTGATGTCATTAAGTGAAATTCTAACAAATCGTACGGACGAGACAAAAAGTAATCAGTTCTGAAATCAAAATTGGATTCCCTAATCGTGACAATTCATTGAATTACCAGGATGGTGGAGGGTGGTGTGAATGACGATATGCCCATAACACAGGCTTACCTCTTTGGTTCTTTTGGTAATGTCACGTAGAAAGAAAAGCAAATTAATAATAGAATACGACGTTTCGATTGCAACACAGGCAACCGTGATCAGGCTTGTTTGTCCAATTTCTAGAAATAACGCATTGCTATGAATATGTGTGTGTGTGTACTCGTGTGCCGTAGGGAGCGGTGGCATAGCGGTTTAGCGCAGTGCGAACCCAGTGACCGAGTTCGATTCCCGCTCACGACCAACACCAGTCGCGATTATTTGAACTGGTCATGAGCCTTTCCTAGGTCGACTCAGCCTCAAATGAGTACCTGGTGTGGTGTATAAACATCGAGACAAAGGCGCCCGGCCTTGCTGCTAGCCACCCACCCCCTCCTGTGCCGTGTCGGCCTCCATCGAAGCTCAAAACAGCACTTGCCCCAAAAATCTGTTAAGGCTATACAGGGGATCTTTGTCTTTGTATCTCTGTGCACGACGTGTGTGTACATGTGGGTGTGTTATTGTTTGTGGAGGCACCACGCGCAACTGTTTTATGATATCCATTGCATCGACGAAGGAAATTTCATTACAGATCCATTACGCCTTTGGTTCATTTATCATAGCCATTGATCCCTTCATGGCGAAGGACATTGTCTTGGAGACAGACTCACTCCAATGCACAAGGGAAGTGTGGAATACAAACAGCTCTCTCTGGTTAATACCGTGCGAGCGAAGTGCTATACGTACACCCTGGTTTACATGTACATTATCCAATGTGTATTAAAAAAAGGTAAATATAATGAGGGCTGGGGAGGAGCGGTGGCACAACGGTTAGTGCACTGCGCTCTGAATCCGGCGACCCGAGGTCAAACTCCAGGAGCCACTCCTGGGCCCTGCAACAAGCCCCCCACCGCTCCCACCTTCACCTCCACCAACTCGCATTGACCCAGCATCGTAAAGCCAGGGTCATATACCCCACAGGACCACGACGGCATGGTGAGGCCTTCACCCAGCAATAGATCAACAACGGGGCTGTACAAACAACGAGCGCTTATGAGGGATTCGTGTGAGGCAGTACCGCAAGTAGGTATGTTACATACTCTTTGTTCTTTCGGTAAGTCACGTATGGTATAAATAAATTAAAATCACGACGTTTCTGGCGCATCAGTTGGGACAACCACAGAAATACAAATTCTCTTTTCCCACTTCAGCAATTGTTTCTTGCTGTGGTTGTCCACTGATGACGGATGCTTGTGTTTGCGCCCGAAACGTCGTGATTAAATTTATTTTATTTTATACCTACGTGACTTTACCGAAAACTTCAAATCTAGATTGAAGGTATGTTACATGCCTGTATGGAGGTAGTGACCTCCTCCGTCTGCGCGTGTACATATTCGTTGGGGTGCTCCTGTTGCTTCCTCGTGAAAAAGATGGACCTTGCATAATGTAACAAGCTGAGCCTCAATGAGGTCCCCGTTTGTTCTTGTGGTGTTCTGCTTGCAAGTGCTCTCTAATAGTCAAGGGGGTCAAGAGGTCGTCACACCAAATGGCTGGTGTGGCACCGCCACCTCGCCATCGCTTCTGCTAGAATTCACAGCTGTCGTGTCGTCAGCACGCGGCTTCCAAGGCCTACTCTTACAGGCTCACCACCACCACTGCTTGCTGTTAGATATTCCCTTTGGTTACCGACCCTGTTTGACTTGCCCTCCTCCGTCCTGCAAGTGTGCGTCGCCTCTGGCAACCTCCCCTTTCTGATTACATCTACAAAGGAACTCATCTTATCCGTTTTGACTTGAGGGGCAGTGGGGGGCGCCTACCCCGGATTCCATTATCCGCGAGGATTTCCGCAAATTGACTCCACTTGTCCACACGGAAAAAATTCCTGGACCCTACAGCTCCCACGGATAATGTGAGTCATGGGAAGTAAGCTCTGCTCTACAGATTTTTCTTCCAGCATCTCTGTGCTGAACGTGCATCTCGCTTCAGCGCGGGTTATCGTGGCTTGTGCTGAATAGCTCTACCGATGCTTTTCTCGTAGCTCCGCGTGCGTTTCGGCACGATGCCCCCCCCCCCGTACTTCGCTCCACGTGCCGAGAGCTTTCTTCAATAATTCCTGAAGGAGTTATTCCGCCACGCGGACACGAAACGTCCGGGCATCATGCCGAACACGCGGTGACACGCGAAAGGGGCCGTCCATAAATGGCGTCACGCACCTGAGTGGGGGGGGGTCAGACATTTGTGACGATGTGTGACGAGGGGGGGGGGGGGGTGAGAAATGTGACGTCACATCAAAATGCGCAACTTTAAATAAATATAGAATTGTTATAACAACACTCCTACAACATCAGAGTGCAGCGCCACATTAAATACGCACTACAATGACAATAG